GTTGTTTTAGCGCGAGTATTGAGATTAAGTGTATCGCAGAGTTATATTCGGAAAGAATAAACCAGTTTTATTAAGTAAAGACTTGTGTCGTTAAAGTTTCGTTGGAACGAAGTTACGGAAAGTTAATTAACAAATGTAGACGTAACAATATAAAAAGAGAACTGAGTCCTGAGGTACTCCACTTATGACATCAATCCAGTTTGACTGAACTGCATTAATAACAACATTACTTTCTTCCATCCAGTCACAGTTCTATCCAATGAGCCAACTTACTCCCAACACCTACAAAGATCATGTTTTTAACAAGCCTTTTATGTGACATCACATCAAATTCTTTTTGAAAATCCAGATACATCAAATTCACACCCATACCCCCCATCTAAATATGCAGTAAACCTCTTCATAAATGTCAAAATATTAGTAAGACGAAATTATCCCCTAGTGAAACCATGTTGACTATCAAACAAAATTTTAAAACTTGTTAAATGATTTTGCAAAGCATATTTAGCAGTCTTTCTAAAACTTTTCTCATCAGTTATGTAAGACTAATAGGCCTATAATTATCAGGACAATTTTTATCACCTCTCTTGATAAGAGGAGTAAAATTAATCAATTACAAATCTTTTGGCACCTGTCCACTCTTCAAGGATAATGATCCTTCCCCATGTTCTTCTTTGGGAACTTAGTTATGACTTGTACTTCCTCTAAATGGTCAGGTTTTGTCATCTTTCTGGTAGACAGGTGTGACCTGAGAGCTGCTCTGGCAGTCAAATTGAAGACTTCACTAAATTATTCATTTGGTGTTAGTAATGAGTTGTGTGCACTGTTACATATTACAATTTCAAAGAGCCTAAAACTGAGTTAAATTGTAATTTAGATTTAGTAGTTAAATAAATGCCAATATATATCCAATTTATGATATTTGCCAACAAGATTGATTGATACACACAGTTTTCTTTTTAATACCAATATATTGTTACGCCTCTGTGTTCATTGGTTAATTTTCTGTAGAAATTCCTTTCGAAAAACTTCAGCGATACAAGTCCTTTCTTAAATAAAACTTGTTTATTCTTTCTCAATACAACTTTGCAATACACTTAATTTCCACAGTCACTTTAACTTAAACACACGCTAGAATTCACAACGATTCACGCACTTTACTTATGGCTTGACTCAATTATCTGTCTCTATATCGCTCTGTCTGCAATTACTCTTGCCGGTCTTATATATACAAAATAGAGGGCGTTTGGCAAACACTAGGACATTCGACAGGTTCCTCGATCTTTCTAGAACTCCAGCGCATGCTCCCAGCGTCACGCGACTTCCACTATCATAACAATATTTTAATATACAACCAATAATACAATAACATTTATTACAAATAGTTACTACAAACAATGATTTATATACAAAAGTTTTACAAACTTACAAACAATATAAAATCTTCTTTCTAGTCTAGAACTTCTTTGATAACTTATCAAGGGTTCACGATGAGTGAGTTAATTTTGAATTGACGTAGGTACAATTCACTTAATAGGGAGCTAGCTAGCTCTGTGGTCTTCACTGATCACATGCCAATTTTTTCCCACCAATGAAGTTAGGTAATGGTTTCGTAAAACTACTATTGTCCAATGTGAATTCACTGAAGTTAAATGGTTTGTAATGTTAGAAATTTATCAATGTTTCTGGTCAAATATTTTAAGTTTCCTGATTAATAAGTGTTATAACAATCACAGTTATAGCTTCCAAAGTTTATAGCACACCAACTATAACAAACCAATAATAGATACTGTTTTTTTTTGGTGCGTTGTGTTGGTTATATTTATAGGCATATGGATATTTTTCAAAATTTCAGTTTTACGTAACAATACTGATGCTAACGCTAGCATTTATGTACACGTATATTGTTGATTCTTACACTTGAGAATCTTCTACAACTTTAGAGAATAGTTGGGAGTTTTGCAATACATATTTAACAGTATAACTTATGTACATTTCTAAATATAAATTTAATTCAAACAAACATCGATATTAAGATAAATATATAATAATAAATCCATCACAGTACAAAGTGCAGAGACATAATCTGTGCAAGGTGATGACTCATGTTTACTGGAAATTTCTTCTTCAAGTAGAATAATTACATCTAAGCCCTTGTCATGAAGGAAATTCAACAGATTACCAAGTCCTGCTTGGTTGATTCTTTCAGTGTAGTGCACATGTGGCCCCAAACATCTCAGGGCATCAGAGACCTGTTATTTCTCTGCCTTGGGAGGTTATATTCTGCTTTTCTTTTATGAAGACTAACCAACATGTGTGATTGGTCACCTATTTAGTAGATTAGAGTCTAGTTTGTCATTGGAATTAACCAAACAAGGTGCTCCATCTTCTAATACTGTCCATGCACCACCACCTGCTGAATCAAGATTAATCTACCTATCCTTTCAGTATCCAGGATGGGTAGTTTCCAATGTACCATTTTTCATTCAATGACTATTCAAATACAGTATATCCAATAGGATTAAATGTATAGTCTCCATTAGTACCCATCATATTGTAACAGCTGCTGCAGATTTTCTGGATCTCTGAGCTCCAAAACTTTTTACCACAGTATTTCTTGGAACTTGGTTACTTTTAATATTCACTCCAAATATCTGAAGCGAAAAGTAGAAAATTGCTTTTATGTCCTATTAAAAAGAAAATGAAAACAATAAACCTGTGGGTTTCCTATTTTTTTCAACTGCTTTATAGATGGTGCCATAATTCTCAATGTAACTGTTTGATATTATCACAAACAATGTTTTTCCCTTTAATGTATTACATTGAAATCTCATTGAGCAACATCCCCAACGCTCATTGTTTAAAAAAAGCATACTAGTTTTATTCTTTGTTTGATATAATATGAAGTATGCCTTTTATCAGACTAAATGCATGCAAAAGTTTTTGTGATGTTCTCCATTTCAGATGAAAGTAAAATTTTGGACTCTTTGCCTAAGAAGATGAAAACAGATGTGGCCCTCAATGTCCATTACAACACCTTAGTTAAAGTTCAACTTTTTAAGGTAACCATCATTTGTTTTTGTGTTTATAAGCTTACAAAACCTCAATGGCATTAGCCGACATTTCCTTTTTTTACATTTATCATCGTTTTTATAATAATATATTAAAAACACATTCCCTTACATAATACACTGTCTTTCAACAAATTAGACTGTTATATGAAAACACTATGTATTTCTATGTTCTTATAATATTATAGTAATTAATCTGAATATATTTCTTATTACTTATGTGTGCAGTATTAGTAAAACATGGTTGAGAAATATTTTGCTTGATTTTGTACCAGGTACCTTTGTTCCTTTGTTACTCTCTAGTAGATAAAACCTGTTCTGCCCAGGAGAAATCCTGATGTAATACTGCACGTAGTGCAAGGATTTCAACAGTTGTGCCTATTAATGGTAGTTCAGGTGATATCTAGAAGCTGCAGCCTTACCTATGTTGGAATAAGAGTGACCAGTCACATGAGTATTGCTAAATGCTTTGGGTAAATCTGATGTTCCTTGCAAACTAAGGAAAATACTTTTAACAGTCTGGAACAGGATATTGAGGGAGACGCTGTTGAGAGAATACATTAAAATCAACAGTCCATCATACCATAAAGCAAGTACACACTGTGCTTCGTGGTTTAATAAAGATTGTTCATGTTTCATTCTACTTTATGTCCAGTCTCATTATTCCATTTAAAATCAAGACTCTGTTAATAAGAAATTTAGCCAGTGGTGTAGGAAGGAGCTGCAAAGTGGGGGTACTGGGCTAGACTTGCAGATTTTACAATGAAAGATTTAAAATATAAGGAGCTGTTAAAATTAGCTCCTGTGCTGCCAAAGGCAGCTCAATTTAGGGTGTCTGGGGTCATGTCCCTCAGAAATTTAATATAGTGATATAATCTAGAGTTTCTATATAAGTAAAATATGTAAAAGTGGGGGTGCTTCAGCACCCCCAGTTCCAATGCCTCTGGAGTTAATATTACTTTATGATAATATTCTTGACTGAATCTCCAGTTATTAAGTGGGCCTATCTAGTTGCTGAAGGTTAACTCAGTTCTACCTGAATATATCAAAAGATCACTCCAGTAATAACATTTTATTACATACACAAAAAAAACTTAATTCCATAACAACATGTAAGATGTAATATTACAAGCCCTTTACGTACACAAAACTTTTAAGCGTAATAAAGTCCTTACTACACATGTAGATTCCATTATTTCAGTTTTTTTGTGTGTGTGAAGAGGAGATTAAGGCTAGTATTATGAGTATGGGCTTATTTTATTGGAGATGCAGTCTAAAAATACATTAACCTAAGTCTGAATTATTCATGATGGAAATATGATTCCATATGCTCATGAGTGAAATTGAAACTATATTGTAGTCAAAATTAGAATTTTGAAAGTATAAATGAAGAATAATAATACTTTCATTATATGTCACACTAATTACATTTAATTACTATGAATGGTACAAGCAAGAGATTTTCTTTTTCAACTTTTTTTCCAGTTAATACTCTACTTTCTATCTTATGTAATTATATGAAGTAGAAGAATGAAATTGAAATGATAAAAGAAGTATTATTAGCTAAGTAAAAAAACCATGATAAGCTATACATAGATCGATGGGAATTTATACAGTTGGACACTTAAACTGTTCAAATTATCTATGCTTTCAACAAGCATGGGTTGATGCATCTAAAGTCACAGGCTGAAATAAATGAAGAATTTTAATAACTTTTCAGTATGATACATTCTCTATTGCCTATGTTATGGTCAGTGATACTGAAAGGATGCATGAAACTGCGAGGAAATATTTCAAAACATTTCCTATGATGCCTCAAATGAACAACATATTCTTCAACCTTGCATCTATCCCTTTAACTATTATATTGCTTAGACTTCATCATTCAGTTCATGTGTTTCACAGTTATTATAAAGTTACTGTTTTTTATTGTTTTATAAAATGATATATGTATGTGTATGTATATATATATATATATATATTGTTTTGAGATTTAATTATTTGAATTGTGTTTATGTGCATTTTGAGTTGTCACTGCACAGGAATCTTGCAGTGTTTCTTTGTTTTTTATGTTAGATAAATGTTTTATAGATATAAGACCACCATGTTAAATTTACTGAAGTTTATTAAATCTGTTGTTTTTACACAAATGTCTTCTAATTATGATAGAATTATTTTAATAAATGGTATATATAATGAAGTCTAAGATTGTCACATTAGTGCTTGCATGAATTTTTATCAATCAAAAAAAGGAATAAGAAACAAAAACTAAATTTGCCAATACATGTTTTAGTTTTGTAGAAAGCATACCTTATTATAACAATGAATTCAATTATTTCTATGAAATATTTAATAACTTATTCACATATTAAAAACAATTATATGTTTTTTATTGATTCTCAAAAAAGAAATCTGTGGAAAGCCAGTAATGGAAAACTTGGTTATCCCTGAAATTCACTAAAGACTAATGGTAGAAAGCTAGACAGATGTTCTGTTCACTTCTTTGGTTTCATCTCTAATTTTATTTAGTAATGATTTTTGTACAGGACTGTGATGAGGCTCTTCTGAGGGATCTGGTGTTGAAGTTACAACCTCTTTTATTTCTTCCAGGGGACTACATCTGTAAAAAGGTATGTTAAGGAAAACATAAACATGTTACATTGAGTTTCAAACTGTGATTGTTTAAGAACTTTTTCTTGTGTAATATAATACAATCTAATGCAGATTTTCAGGATCTCTAAGCTTCAAAGATTTTTAACACCAGTATGTCTTGGAGCTTCGTTAGTGTTGATATTTATGGATGAAAGTAGCCAGATGTTTGTAATAGAATGAAACAGAGCACATCTTATTTTACCAAAATTAGATATCTTTTTTTTATTGTTTAGGGAGAAATGGTAATGGTGATTGGAGTAATTAAAATAGCACTGAGAAAACACCACAGGAAATAAATTTAATTAATATAATTGAAATTAATTTCATACCTCAGGATTATTGCCAACTAGAGTATCTTTATAGGCTTTTTCCTAGTAATGTTACTAATGTAAATGTGAGACTCAAAAAGTAATTACTAATTCGTAAAAAACATTATTTATTGTATCAATATCTCTTCCATTCATATCTAATGGAAGTGGCCAGATGTTTGTAATAGGGAAAATTTCTTATTTAAAAAAAAAAAGTTATTTTTTGTTTGTTTTTTCATGTTTAGGGAGAAATGGGAAGAGAAATGTACATTGTGAACAAGGGATTAGTTCAGGTTATGGGAGGAGAGAAAGGAGATGTGGTCCTAGCTACATTATCAGAAGGCAGTGTTTTTGGTGAAATCAGGCAAGAGTCCATGAACAAACAAAAATAATTTAATATAGATTACCTATTATATTTAAGCAAACTTGTTTAAATTTTCAAAAATTTTTTACAATTTATATAAGAAACTTTAGTTATTTTACACACTTTGCACAATTAAAAACACAATGAGGCCAATGCATAACTTACTTTATCATTTGCAACATTTCAAACAACCATCCTTTGTCAGGTATTGCAGCAGAGCTACAGAAAATAAGTGTTTCATAACAAACAAAATGTAATGTGTAAGCATGAAGTCAACTCATTAACACATTACACTTCACAAAAAAAAACTAATGATGTAAGAGAACATTACTCCATCATAAATCTTGTGTGTTTGTTTTGTTGTTAAATGCAAAGTTACACATTATGCTATATGTGCTATGTCTACTACAGGGATCAAACCCTAATTTGTAGCAATATAAGCCCTCAAAATTACCAATTAGCATGCAGAAAGCCACCATAAACCTAAGTATCTGAAACTAAATAAAATGAAAAATAAAACTTCATAAATTAATTAAATATGTAGAAGTAATATCAAAAGTAATTATATTAAAACATCGAAATAAGTTATTAAAAATTATTGAAGGGACATGTTAAGCCTAATCATGAATATAAGAGTATGTATATATGATCCGGTAAGGAAAAAATAAAAGTGAAAAAGAATAAATAGTAACAATAAGCAATGATAGGTGTCTAATAATAGTTCAGAAGAATGATTTTTTTCATTAATGTAGGTATAGTCAAAGATATGAATATGTTATGATAAGATTGCATTCAATCTACGCTGTTTCAAATTTTAACAATAAATCTCTGAGTCAGTTAGATCAATTGTGTAACTTTTGGTAACAAAGTAGGGTCCACATGAGATTCAGAAATCTGAAAAAGTTGGAATAAAATATGTTGATCTGTAGGGCTTGATCAGAGGAGTCTTTTGCTGTTCTTTTTTTCATGGATATTGTAGTCGTGGTGGTTTTCTATTTCCTCAAGGTTAACCTCTGTCACCACTCTGTTCATGATTATCTTGCCAGTAATTATCGCCTCTGTAACCACTCATCTCCAGCTAGCTTTGGCTCACGGCATTTTAACAATGAAAATAACTTTATTAGGAAATAATTCTGCATTCTTTTGTATTCCCTTGTTCTTATTCTCTTACAATAATCCACATTATCGTTCTTCATCATCACCAGTTTCATTGTTTTACACAGCAGTTCAAAGCCTGTTTCCTCCTCCTCTTTTTCTTCTTATACTTCTTCTTCATTCTACATCTCCACCTTCTTTTTTCGTCATCCTCACGTTTCATTGTTCTTCATTGCAACTCAAAGACCATATCTTTACCTTCTTCTACATTCTGCAGTCCCATCTTCTTCTCCTCCTTCAATAAGCATGTTCTGTGACTTGATTTTTCTGCAACTGATATCCCACTATGATCACACATCCTCATCTAGTACATTGAACATCTTGAGACCTTACACTTGCGAGTAAAGTCTGAATCTGATGCCTCTGACATCTGTCCTCCAAGATATTTGCTTATTCTTACAGTTTCATATTGTTGCGTCATCGAGGTCACGTGACTAGTGTCACGCCACGTTTTCTAGAAATATCCTGTTCCTTCGTGAATGCCCTAACATTTACTAGATTGGGAGTAGTCTGGTATATATAAGATGGTCACAACGTGACGGGAACAGTGTAGTAGTGAGTAATTGAACTGCAGTCAGAGAGTATTGTTGAAGTTGAGACGTTCTAGCGTTTGTTATAGAGCGACTGTTGAAATTAAGTGTATCGGTAAAGTTGTATTCGGAAAGAATAAACCAGTTACGGAAAATTAATTAACGACTGGAGGTGTAACAAATTGGTGTCAGAAGTGGGATGGAAAAAACAAATGGAAACGAGAAGCGGCAAATCAAACTACAGCCTAGCAGACTTGATGGCAGCAATACAAGAACAGCAAAAGAAACAAGAAGAACGAGAAGAGAAATTACAACAGTTGTTAGAGGAAAAAGAAAATAAACAAAAAGAATGAGAAGAGAAATTACAGCAGTTGTTGGAGG